TTTCATCATCTAATTGACTCAAGCTGTATCCTACAGCAATATTTGATGCATCTGTGTAGAGAATGAAAGGTTTACCCCAATCCAGTTTCGCCAAAATTGGAGCCGTCACCAACGCCTTCTTGAGAACTTCGAACGCCGTCTTTGCAGCTTCATCCTTGAAAATGAGTTCGTACTCCACTCCCTTCTTCATGTAATTCGTCAAGGCATGAGCTTTGTTGGAGAAGGACAAGATGAACCGTCGATAGTACCCCACCATACCAAGGAATTGCCTCAACTTGGTTAAAGTCGCCGGAAAATGTAACTCCATGATCCGTGTCACCTTCTCTGGATCCACCGCTATACCATCCTTGGAGATGATATGCCCCAACAATAGGAATTCCTCACATCCAAAAATGCATTTTTCTGGATTGAGTGAAGCCTTAGCTTCCTCCAACCGTTGAAGTATTTTGATCAAATGATCAAAATGATCCGCTTTCCTCCCGTAAACACAAAAATCATCTATGAAATCCCTTACAAACTTTCCAATGAAAGGTTCAAACACTCTATTCATGAACCTTTGAAAAGTGGCAAGAGCATTACATAGACCAAACGGCATCACTCTAAAAGCGAAGGTTCCCCATGGAGTGGTAAAAGTTGTTTTGAGTTGGTCTTCTAAGGCAATTTGGATTTGGTTATAGCCACTATAACCATCTCCAAAACTATACCACTCATGGCCAGCAAGCTCTTCTAGAATCTCATCTATGAAAGGCAAGGGATAGTAGTCTTTCTTTGTGACAGCATTCAACTTTTTGTAATCTACGCACACTCGTAGCTTACCATTCTTTTTCTTCACTATCACAATTGGAGACACCCATTCAGAATTTTCTACCTCGTAGATGAAGCCAGCCTCCTTGAGCTTGTCGATCTCCTCTTTCACCACAAGAGCCGTAGGTGGATTTATTTGGCGTTGCTTTTGCCGAATAGGACGAGCTTTCTCCTCCAACTCGATGCGATGAGTCTCCAACGTCACATGCTTAAGATCTTTGTAACTAAAGGCAAAAACATGAATATATCCAGAAACCTTGCCTTTTCCTCCTTGGTAACCTTGGGACCAAACTTGAGAGTGGACAGTCGTCGACACACCTCCTCTTCGCTCATCTCCACTTTGTCAGGATCTTTCTTCACTCCAGGCCTAGGCAACAACTCCATGGCAGCAATGACTTGTACTTGAACATTATCATCAGAAGAGTACTTCGATGATGTTTCTTGATCAGAAGTTGAGATGTCTGTGTCAACTTCTGAAAAGCTACCACTCTCTTCACTCTCAGATTTCCAATACTCGTTAGTTGGTCTATCTGAGTCAGTGGTGGATTCCCCTTCTCTCGTCAAAGGAACCTTAACTCGATGGTTCTTTGGGCCTATCCTCAAATAGCCCTTGTGCCATCGGTCCGTAGTCCTTACCGCCCTCAACCAAGGACGTCCCAACAACAAGTCGTAGCTAGCTTCCTTGAGAATTTGGAAGGAAAGCAAAGTTTGCACTCCCCTCACACTAACCACAACTTTGTCTACCACCCCCAGTGGTCTTACCTTCTGTTTGTTGGCCATACCAAAAATTATGCTAGAAGGTTTAGAAGGTTGCATACCCAACTTTTGCATCAACCTCTCAGACATGGCATTCACAGCTGATCCACCATCACATCTGATACATCATGTCCATTGATCCTCACTTCGATCTTTGAAGCATGTGTACATACCTCCGAAGCAGCCGCATCCACCACACCAACTCCCACATTGGTCATGTGAGCCTTCCCTTTAGATTTCCGCTTCTTGGTCCTTGTGGAGCTAAGACCTTCTCTTAACTCCTTCCGAATGGCTGGATTCAAGGCAATCAGCTGACCAACTGTTATATTGGCATTCTGATTTCCTACATCCTCCACCACGTCATACTTAGCTTGAGAAGATGAAATGGAAAAGTCATCCATGCCCAACTTCTTCCTTGGTACTCTTGGTTGACTCACTCCACTTGACCGTGTACTTCGACTTGTTGTGTCCTCCATGAAAATCGACTCGTCCGCAAATCGGGCACGCTTCTTCTCATGAGCAAGGATATCCACTTTCGATTTCGAGCTCTCCCCTTTTTCAAAAGTGCATTGATGAGGGAATACATCAATGGATGCTACTCCCTTATCCTTGGCTTGTTGTGTGGCCGGTGCATTGTTGTTGTGCCGAACTCCATCATGTTGTCGAGGGTTAGGACAATTCCTCTGAAAATGAGGACCTCCACAAGAAAAGCAAGAAACCGCAAAGTTTCCTGAAGGTGGATTTCCTCTTGGAGGATAATTTCCATACCCCATAGAGCCTCCTCCTACGTTCTGAATCCTCTTCTACCACAACTGTACTACATTGATCTTGAGGTCTGCTAGAGTCTCCGTGATAGATTTCAACTCATTTTGAAAATCCACACTAGGATTCGCTATTGTGAATGAAGTAGAAGGGTTTGAAACAATGGACCTTCCTACAACCGGTGGAGCTACTTCTCTAGCCACCAAGCTAGAATCATCATCTTCTAAGCTCTCCTCCATTCTAATAGCAATTCGAATGGCTTCAGCCTTAGAAGAGGGCTTCTCGTATCTCACCTTACTTCGAATCTCAGGTCTCAAACCTCCAACGAAGTTCTTCATAAGCATTGCCCTTATCCCCATCATTGTAGCATCCACTTCGTCTCCGCCCTTCCTCAACACCACGTGGAATCTAGATTCCAACTTCTCGGTTCTCTTCACATAGGTCCTCACCTTCTCGTTCTCTCCTTGTTTCAAGAAGGTGACCTCACACATTAACTTTTCATAACTTTCACTGGGAAGAAAGTTTTCAATCAGGTTCTCCGTTAATGTCTCCCACGTGTCGTCCTCCGAATGCTCCCTCTTGTACTCCTTGTACCACTTGAGAGCAGAATCCTCCAAGAAATCCGGCAAAAGCATAGCCCACTCGTCTTTCTTCCTCTCATTGTTTCCTATGCAAGCCCTCTTGAAGTCCCTAACAAAAGCTTCTACATCCTCATTCTCCCTCCCATAAAATACCGGAAGCTTCCCCATTTCCAACTAATTTTTTTAAATTTTTTTTTTATTGGAAATTTATATGGGGCTTCTTAATAGAATATAAACAACACTAACTCCATCCTTGAGTAATTCATCAAAGGAAACACAAAATGAATTGGTTGTTCCAAGATAGCCAAAGCTCTCTCCTCTCCTAGGTATACGATGAGTCTTACCCTCATCATCATCTTCTCCATCATTCGAATGATGATCTCCATCTTCAGTTGGAGCTTGAGCCCGCTGAGGTCACTTTCTCTGTTTCAGCACTTAGCTTGCCGTCAAACCCTTCCACAAGTGATTCCAGAAGTGCCTTCACTCCGCTGCATTCGTGTCCCGCTGGTAGCCCAATCACTCCGCAATTGTGACGGAAGGTCGCGCTTTGGGATTCCTATTACTAGTACTTCACTTCCCAAACTTCATCTTTTCAAAGAAAATGAATTTACTACGTTACCACATCTTGGTCGAGTCTGTATACAGATATGAATATTTCACGATGGGTTGACAAATTGTAAATATGAAACGATTCAGTTTACTCCTGCTAAGAGTTGCCGTCTTTTGTCAACGTGTGGTTATTGAGTTGGACAAGGGAAATATGATATGAGATATGAGAATGAAGCGCACAGTCATTCGCTTTCAAACGATGTTTTCTTTCTATGATAATTCTCGTCATTCCAACAACAGTTTAGAGACTAATACACAGACCAATAGACAGAGTTTTCACTTTCAGTTGTTACTACAATTTTGAGATTTCCGATTTGTGGTATGAGGCTCGAGCTCAACTGGTCCCGATTTGGTCATGTACAGATAAGCTGACTTATGGGTTACACTTCATTGAAAGCTCTAACCAATAGTGATGCATATTTTCAATTCGTGCTATAAACTAAGAAAACTGTCAATTCAAAGCATCTTCGCACAGTACACAGAATAAATGCTTGAATAATTCGCTTATCCACATAGGAATACACTAAAATTTGGAGATAGCATCAACCAACTCGCAGACGCAGCTTTCAATTCGTACAAACTGTTTCCTATTTTAACTGTACCTTCCAAAAGTCGGGCCTATATTTGCTGTGAGAAGACAAGTTGGGTCAGAGATCCGAGCTCGCTCTCGACGTACATGGTCTTCCTCAAACTGAATGCTTTACATTTAGTATCAAACGTCAGCTTAGACCTATAACAGGTCTGCTGAGAGTAATTGAATGAAGAACGTCTTCGTTTAAGTACATCCATTCTTCTCCACACAGGTATCTTGCTGCTTGAGAGGCGAAGTAAGTTAGAATAACTTCGGCTCCGGCACTCTTGATGCAAAGTAGAAACTCCAAGATTGCTTTTCTCTCATCTAGCATACATACTGGTATGCTATGATATGGTATGCATGTATGAATGTTTCTACAAAAGAGAGACTAAATTTTATTTGATAACCGAAGAAAAGCAATAGTAATTCGCCCTCATCAGATTTCTTTCCATTAAGATCATGTTAGATATATCCCCGAACAATCTCCACAATAGCGGACCATAGCTACAATAGTCACTGAATCAGTGCCGACTATTTAGAATTTGGTTTGCCATCCAAACAAAAAAAAAACCCTCGTTAAACCTCCTCCTGTCTAGAGCAAGACTAGAAAACATCCGTAATTTCAAATAGCACCACAAGATAGTGTCTTAAAATGACTAAAGTATTTCCGATTAAGTTTAAGGTCGCAACATAAAACATTACCATCCCGGAGATATCCAGTTAAACCCATTAAACGAAATTTTTTTGGCTATAGAACCTATAAGAATAACCCACAACTTTACACTTTCTCATTTATAAAGCTTCATTTTTCACTTTATGATTTGCGCCTATTTCGAAACTCCCTATTGTTTTCGCAGAGGAACATTCATATTGACTCCACATTCCAACAGAGGACGGAAGATAAAAATAATACAGTATAAACCCAACAATAATGTTCGTTATATAAAGTTTCAGCAACCAATGTGAATGTCGTAGAAAGCATTGATAAACATCGATTTAGCACTGAATGGCATCACCCTGAGTTTAATTATCCCATGATAGTTGCTTCTATCGTTCAGAGAAAGGAAACTACAGCTCGTTAATATAAAACTCATACTACTCAATCCTGTTCGAACATATATCCACATTTTACCATGATTATCGTGGTCAATTCAAATGGCTAGATATACATAGTAGATTTTGGAGCTCAGATAATAGTTTGCGTGTTTCAGGCCATATTGTGCATATCATGCTAGGCTTCGAGAAACTAGAACAAACAACAAGAAGGAGAAATTCGGAGGAGAATGAAAATTGGAGAAACGATACGCAATTTACACCTCTTCAGCTATCTTCGAACCATAGATATGTCGAATGAAAAACGAGAAGATTGCTGGATAGAGCCCATGTCACGGGACTAATAACGCTTCAAACTCTTCCCTGCGTCATGGTACATATGATACTTGCTCATCCTGAAGATGACATCCCTTAGACAGCTGCAAATGGGTCCAAGCCAGGCTGAAAGGAGAAGATGTTGCCGTTACATACATCGGAAGAAGGAGAGAGTGCGCTCCATAATTTCTCTCGCACATTGTAAATCACAACCGGGCTGTCGTGTTTAGAAGATGCAAGGTAGATGCAACTGTTGTGACACGTGAACCGATCGCAGTAGGCATCAATTATAGTGCAAGGAGGCCCTAAGGCTATGGGAATAAGCCCATGGGTCTCCTGGTCAAACTTCAAAACGAGAACACTGGAGGAAGGAAGCCGGGATGGCAGGAAGGCACAAATCACCCCCCACATTGGATCCCAGGGAGGAATAGATCCATGAAAAGAATCACCGTCACTGTAAATCATGGGATCCATCACGAGAATCAGGATCACATCTCCATCACACTCCACCAGACCGGTTGTATACGCAGCGTCGATGTGCCGAATGCTGGGAACGCTAAGCTGAATCCGCGTGGCACATCCTTTCACGTTGTCGTATGCCATCAACTCGAAGGCTGCGATGTCTGTGCGTAATGATCTCAAAACGTCTCTGTAAAGAACGTAAAACTTGTGGTCTGATGTGTTGTACACAGAATCTTGATATACGAGAAGAATAGAATCGTGCAACTTGAGTTCCATCAGAGTCCACGTACGCTTTGTAGATTCATAGATCTGAAATGTTATCAATCTTACAGATTGTTCCCTCAGTTCAGGTGGATCCGGATGAGAAAGCACCATCACCGTGTAAGAACACGCTCCAGAAGCATGAATTTGTACTGCATCGGGCTTTTCCATATCTGGCCGACTTGGTAGTTTCTTCCAGTCTTTTGTAATCACGTTGGTAACAAATATATTTGTATGACATGATATCCCGTGCACGGAAGAACAGTCACTGTTGAGAATGCCGCACAGTAGAGCACCAGACATTGAAGAAGTGTACCGAATGAATTTGGGTATCTTCCTAGCGTCGGCAAAGTAAGATAGTCTGAACATTTTCTGCCATCGGTCGTTTACGTGATCGTATCCCGTGAGCCAGCAATCACGGCTGATATATACCGGGCAGTATGATTCCCATTTGGAGCAGACTGTTTTGACCTGATATTGAAATGTCAAGTTCACAGGACTGGCCGAGAATTCAGAAGACCATGGTCTGGACAGCACACGGGCCTTCAACAGATGAGGGAATGGTACCATCGATATTATTTTTCCTGCCACTTCATCGGGTAGTCCCTGCTCAAGAGTGTTCGCTTCAGTCATAGTGAATATTGAAGGAGATTGTTGTAAGACGACAGGATTCCAACTCCAACCTTATAAAAGCAGGAAAATCTTGAAACGATTCGTGAAGACCTGTTCAGAACCTTTAATATGAATTCCTTCGTTCCACTAAAGTGTCATTTTGACAGCTGCTCGATGGTGGGTATCAAGGCGATGTTCCAGTTTGATGTTCTGCATGACAAGGTCCGAGTCCAGGTCCATCAGTTTTATATTCACAGATTCAACATCAACAACACACAAGTACCACAAGAAAGCAAGAAACGTAGCCAAACGTTCACGTAACTCTCGCGAGGGTAAGTTCTTGAGCATCCAGCCATTTCTTCACACTTCTCTCTTCATGTGTCGCGAAAGTGATCGAATTATACAAGATGCAGAAAGCACATCATTGGGACCGTACAAGCCAGTCTGATTTAGAGTGAGTGGGAAGAGAAAACCAAGACACAAGTCTCATATCTTCCTCCAAGATTGAGACGTGGTAGGAGCCAGCCCAGCACACCATGCCATTATATAGTCCGTCATTGAACCATTTCAGAGCAGTAAGCACACCAAACAAAGTGCACAAAAAATTGACCAAACGAAGTTCAAGTTGCAACCAGAAACTTGAATATTCAACCACCTGGAATTGAGCCAATTCTGTCCAAATCAGTGCAAATCAATACTCGTCTGAAGTCAAGTTTTCATCGCATTCGGCAAACCTCCACACGCGCGAGAGACGACGCACGTTCAAGGCTAGAGCAGGTTCTGAAGCGTGGCTGAAAAAGAGGGCGAGCGTGGGCAGCGTCTATCATTTAAGTGCAACCTGGGATTTGAATGCCGGACTAAGGCGCCGGAGGCTGGAGCTCGGAGCTTGGGGATTTGTGTCAGTCCGGGTCTTTGTCTGCAGGGCAGCCTTCCAGGCTCCCTCTCTACCACTCGGACCGCTCCCGCAGATGTAGCGGAGTCCCACTTCGCTTGTGCATTTAACTCTGGGTCCACTTGTTCTTCATCTGGTCTTTGAGGAAATATATCTGCTTCTTTCAGATGGACGACATCTTTTTTCAGTCGGTGTCACTCTTAATTCTCTGGTCAAAAATGATGGACAAAAGACTTCAAGAGTGTGTGACGTGATTTTTTAAAGTTCGAGTTTATGTATTTAAAATGTTACAATTATAGAATTTTCCACCATGGAAAAAATTCATTAATCAAGTATCTATTACTTTCTTACCTTTAATAATTTATTATAAGTAAATGAATTACAGGTCATAGATATTTTTAAATAAAATATTTCATCAAATGGAAAAATATTTATTCTATAATTTGATTTAACAACTAGATAAAATTTTAGGTAGTACTACTTTGATAATCCTAAATTTAAATGCATGTGCAATGAGATCGTCATATAGTAAAAAGAAAAGGATTTATAATTATCTTTAGTTCCAAGAATCACACCGATGAACGCGGTTCACATCAATGAGGCTTTATCCTAGGCCGAGATAAAACCTTCACTAAAGTGAGATCATTATATCATGACTCCATAGCTCAGCTCTCTTTTATCTCTCCCACAAGTATACATGTGAAACTACATTGAAATGTGATCATTGTAGTATTAAGTATCTTAAACCCTAATTAGAGTCCAAACCTAACTACAGTTACACTAATTAGTGTTAACAAGACGTGGGATAATCTTACAAAGTCACCCTTCATCCAAGTTTTGGAGGAGTCAGTTTCTATACTCTATATATAGTTTCAGAAAGAATTTTTAAAAAATAAAACTAAATCATAGCTTTACAAAGGTTAACTAGAACTAAGAAATAATTGACAACATGTCATAGAGAAACTACACACATAAAAAGTATCATGTAATTTAACTCATTGCTGCAAAATCTTCAAAGTTGCACGGTGTCTTGAAAATTTATTTGAAGGAATCAGTTTGATAAAGACATCATCCGGGTTAAACTTTCCATCAATCTTCATGAGCTTAAGCATATTTTTAGACATAAATTGCACGATAAAATGCTATATGATGTCAATGTGCTTCATCCTAGTATATGTCATGCAAATACACATTGTCACACAACATACATTGCTGACATACCATACATACATACACACAAATCATAGACGAGAGCATACACAAACACACGTGTACCATAACAAATGTATCACATGATTCTCACCAAGGTAAAGCGCACTCTGACTATTATAATAAAAATTGACATTCTGCTCTAGCAATCCCATCTCAGTAATAAGTTTGTCCAACCAAGTTGCTTACTTCATTGACTCTGTTGTTGCAACATATTCAACTTCTCTGAATGACAAAGATATGTTCTTTTGAAGAGTTGATCTCCAACTAATGCAGTAACATGTAAGAGTGAAAACATACCCACTCGATCCAGATGATTTTTTCTTGTACAAGTCTACTCCATGATTAGCATTAACATATCCCAAAAGTAACTTGTCATTCATTGCTTTGGCATCAAAAAATAAACCATGTTTTGTAAAACACTTAAGATATCTAAGTATCCACTTCACTACTTCCCAATGCATCTTGGCTGGATTTGCCATGTACCTGCTACCCTTAGCTACAAATGCTATATTGAATTCTATGCACATCATTGAATGCATGAGACTATTCACTCCAATCTCATAAGACTTAGAAGACATCAAGTCTTTCTTGATTGCATATGTAGGACATTGCGCCGCTGAAAGTAAGAAATGAGTAGCCAATGGAGTATTTACAAGTGTAGCTTTTGCCATGTTGAACTTGGCAAACATCTATTTTTGATACCTCTGATGAGATAACCAAAGCTTCTTTTACTTGAGATCCCTAAATACTTCCATGCCAAGAATCTTCTTGTCTTGAACTAGATCCTTCATGTTGAAAATTGAGCTTAATTTAGCCTTCAACTTATTCTATGAGCTGCAATAAGTTGTCATCAACATACAAGACAAGAATAATAAGCCCAAATGCCGCATTGAGAACTTTTTTTCAAGTATACACAAGAATGATATACACTTTGTAAGAATCCTTGTGAATGCATGAAGTTGTTGAAGCGTTTATTTCACTGTTTGGGACTTTGATTTAGATACTAAAACAATTTAAGCAATTTTTATACTGTGTCTTTCTTTCCTTTCATGACAAAATCTTGCGGTTGCCGCCTGAATATCATCTCATCAAGTAGACCATGAAGAAAAGTTGTGACAACATCCATTTGATCAAACACTAGATTATATAGAATCACAATGACACATAGCAAATGTATTGTAGAGTACTTTGTACTGGTGCAAAAACTTCATTGTAATCTCCACATCTTTGCTTTGTGTAAATTCCTTGGCTACTAATCTAGCCTTGAAGAATTTTTCATCTTTATAAGTGCATCCGATCTCTTTCTTATAATCTATCACTATTTTACCTTGGAGCAACTCAACAAGCTCCCAAGTATTATTGGTATGAAGTGACTTCATCTACTTCTGCATTGATGCATTCCACTATTGCTTTTCACTAGATACTAGAATGTTGGGTAAAAAAGATGGATTTCCATCTTCAGTGATCAAAAAGTCATCCGAATCTTCAGCATATGTTTCAATATCATCAATGAGTGAATAGTCAAACCAATTTTCATACCTAGCTAGAGCTTGACGTTCAACAGCAGGAATAAAAGTCTTATACTTGTCGGAATCTGATGTCTATATCTTCTTCCCCTCATTCAATGATCTAGATTACTTTGAATGAAACATCCTTCTTGACAATGAGTTTGCAAGCATTGACTATCCACAACCTATATCCCTTTACTTCTCTTTAATGACCAAGAAATACATATTTCTTGGCTTTAGGATCAAGCTTGATCCTATTATCCTTTGTAGTAAGAGCATAAACATCATAGTAAAAAACTCTCAACATAGAGTAATGACATAAACGTTTGTACCACAATTCAAACGGTGTCTTGAACTTGATAGAGGTATTATGAGACATGTTTACAAAGTAGGCTGCAGTATTCACAGCTTCAGTTCAAAAGGTATGTGGTAAACCAACAAAATTCAACATACTTTGAGAACGCGCTAATAATATGCATTTGAGTCATTCAAACACATCATTTTGCTCCAGAGTATACGATGTGATGAGATGGCGAGTAACCCTCTTCTATTTGCAATATAATTGAAATTTCATTAGTTGTACTCCCCGTTGTTATTTGTGCGCAAATATCTCACCTTTTTTCACTCTGATATTCAACTTGATTCTTTCAATTCTTGAAAATTTCAAAGACTTCAAACTTCTATTGCATGAACAAAATCCACACAAATCTTGAATAATCATCCACAAAGGAATGTAGTATATCTTTTCAAAGTGTGAGGGACAAGTAAAAGATCTTACACTACAAAATGAATGTAATTGAAAATGTTTTGTGAGCTATGCATTTCAAGGCAAAATGCAACTTGTTTGTACGGCAAATACACGATGCTCACAAAATTTTAGCTTGCATTGCTTCATTTCGGGCAATAAACTTTGTTGATGTAAAATGACCAAAGTCTTATCAATCATGTGGCCTAATTTGTTGTCACAAATGAGTAACATAATCTGAAGATGTAGTAACATGTCTCTCCAAAGATCGTTGTCCCCTCCAAGATGTATAGATTTTTCAGCCTTGATCTCTTCATGAAAATGTGGAAATCATCCATCACACTTAAAACTCCATTGTCGGGGCTCCATTTGAATCCTTTCAAGTTCAGTTTTATAGGTGAAATCAAGTTCTTACACATACTAGAAATGTGACGTAGGTTGATCAAGGTATGGATCACCCCATCAAACATTTGAATCTTCACAGATTCAATGCCAACAAAATTGTAGGGTTGATCATTTCTAATAAAGACTGTACAAGTCAATTTGATGTAAAAACTTAAAACTCCTTAACGTGTAAAATGTGATAAGAGCAAATTGAATCCAAAATCCATTCATCAATCCTAACATGGATGAAAGTCAAAAGTGCATAACTAAAATCTTCAATTACAATCATGTTTGCCAAGGTTTCACTAGTTGCCTTATTACGACAATCTTTGCAAATATGATCAAATTTGTCACATTTCCAACACTTGATGTTCTTATAATCTCAAGATTCAAACCTATACTTACACTTGATCTTGATGTTTTCATTGCCTTTCTACCTAGTATGCGGCCTACCACAAGAGATTGTCAAGACAATAGACTATGAAGTGGATTGACCGTAAGAGGGATGCACAAACACCAATAACTTCTGTTGCATGTCTTCGCTCAATAAATTAGTAAAAAATTCATTGTATGTGATGGTTTTTTTTCAAGGTGAAGCAACATCCGTGATAGACACTCATATGAGGCCAGCAAAGAACTCAATAACTAAATCGCTTTTTGCTCATCAGTCATATCTTCTCCAAGGTTTTCAAGATCCACAACCATTGAAGACATCTACATGGTCTTGAATCGCAGCATATTACATCATCGTGAAGTTGATGAGCTTCAAAGTCGTGTACAATCATTTTGAAATCTCCTTTATATGGTACTTCTAACGCAATGCCGTAAATAAATCTTCTACCGTTGGCGGCACCTTCATTTGCTTGAAGACATTTGGCTTGAGATACAAGTCCACAATACTCAGCGTTTGATATTGAATATCATTTCAATAATCATAATCCACATCGTCGGATCATGGCTTAAGCATCTTGCCCAAATCCATAAAATCAAGTACACTATTGATTTGTCGCTCTCACAAAGCATGGTAATTCCATCCATCAATTTTTTTCACCACAACTGTGGGTCTCCAAGATTAACTACTACCATTGATTATTTTTTCTCCTAAAATGTAAGTTGAGGTCGGTTAGTAGTGTCTCTTTCTTTTTTAATGCACTTGAGTTGCTTTCTAAATC